GTTTGTTGGATATAGCTTTCATTAGTTTGAGGTATGTTCCCTCCAGTCCAATTCCCTCTGGGACTTTGAACATGAATGCATGCTGAATTTTATCAAAAGCCTTTTCTGCATGTGTTGAGATGACAATGTGCTTTTTGTCTTTGAGTCCATTTATATGATTTATGATGTTTATTGACTTGTGTATATTATACTGTCCCTGTATCTTTGGAATAAAACCTACTTAATCATGGTGAATGATCTTTTGTGGTACGTCTGTATGTGGTTTGCAAGCATCTTGTTGAGATATTCATTAAGGATACGGGTCTATAGTTTTCTTTTTTGGTTGTGCCTCTACCTGGTTTTGGTATTAGAGTGAAGGAATGTGGAAGTTCTCCCTCTCTTTCTATCTTTTTGAATAATTTAAGTAATATTGATTGGATATCTTCATTAAATGTGTGGTAGAATTCTGCTGTAAATCCATCTGGGCCTGGGCTTTTTTTTTAGTCAAGAGGTTTTATATTAGTGTTTCAATTTCCTTAGATGTTATGGGTCTGTTTAAACTGTTGATCTCTTCCTGGGTTAACTTTGGTGGTTCCCATGATTTTAGATATCTATCCATTTCTTTTAGGTTTTCAAATTTAATAGAGTATAGGTTTTTAAAATATTCCCTTGCAATGTTCTGGATCTTTTGAGTGTCTGTTATGATGTTTCCCCTTTCATCTCTGATTTTGTTAATTAGGATTTGCTCTTTCTTTCTTTTGGTTAACTGGGCTAAGCATTTGTCTATCTTGTTTAGCTTTTCAAAGAACCAGCTCTTAGATTCATTAATTCTTTGTATTGTTTTCTTTGTTTCTATTTCATTAATTTCTGCTCTGATTTTTGTTATTTTTTTCTCATCTGCAGGGTTTGGCTTTCATTTGTTCTTGCCTTTTCAGCATCTTGAGTTGCAATGTCAAGTTATTTATTTGTGCTCTTTCTGATTTTTTTTTTTTTAATGTAGGCCCTTGGAGCTATGAACTTCCCTCTTAGGACTGCTTTTAAAGTGTCCAGAGGTTTTGTTGTGTTGTATTGTATTGTCCTTTTCGTTGAATTCCAGGAATACTTTTTCTTCTTAATTTCTCCTTTGGCCTACTCATCATTCAGGAGTGTGTTGTTTAATCTCCATGAGTTTGTGTAATTACTAGGGCTTCTACTGGTGTTGATTTTAAGCTTTATTGCACTGTGGTCTAATAAAATGCATGGAATTATTTAAAATTTTGTATTTGTTTTTTGAGACAGGGTCTCTCTGTAGCCCCAGCTGACCTGGAATTCACTCTGTAGATCAGACTGGCTTTGCTGTCACAAAGATCCACCTGCCGCTGCCTCCTGAGTGTTGGGATTAAAGGCACGTGCCACCATGCCCAGCTTTTGCTGTATTTCTATGTCCTATTTAAGAGTCCTTTGCTAAATCCAAGGTCACGAGGAATTCCTGTTTTCTTCTAAGAGTCTCTCATATTTGTGGTCGATCTACTTAGAGTTACCTTTTTATATGAGTTGGAGGTAGGAGTCCAACTGCATTCTTTTTGCATGTACAAAACTGCTTGTTCCCAAACTGATTGTTGGGGAGATGTCTGATTTATCTTTGTGTGTGTAGGGAGTAGCACAGGGCTTCTGTAAAGTTTGTAATCGGCAAATGTTGCAGACAGCAATGACTTTTTATGTGTGCTTTCTAAACAAATGTTGTATTTGAGAAGTTTCATTCTGAAAATATGAAAACGGCTGAAAATCACAGTAACACTTCAGCATTTCCATTTGGAGCCCTTCAGCGATGGAAAACTGTGTGCTGCCTTCCAGATCTCATCCTTCCTAACTTGGACAAGTTTCCATGCCTGAAAAAACTGTCTGTGACACTATATGGCAAAGCAGACGTGCTGTCAGTCATTCCCGAAGATTTCCCAAACCACAATATGGAGAAATTATCCATCCAAACTTCTACCGAGTCTGATCCCTCCAAACTAGGTAAGGATGGTGGTTGGATTTCCTTGTTTGTGTTTCAGTTGGAAAAGTTAGTTGTTTACAATCTGTGTCAGAGTTAAAACTTCTGTGGGCCTGACAGGGTAGCCTGTGTCCATGGGAGTGTGGGAACAGCACCATCTTCATTAGGAAAGCAAAAATTTATTTGTAAGAGAGTGCCAGGTTCTGGCCTCCCTTTGGTATAGGGGCTGAGAATGCAGGGGACTGCCTCCATGTAGTGGTCATAACACCAATCCCTTATATGTGCATATATATCATGATGTAACAGTAGGAACCAGGAAAATGGAAAAGAAACATGCAGGTAAAGGGAAAGAAAAAGTCCAAAAGTGGGGGTGGGGGAGATAGTAGGGAACAGATGCTTCTGGGGGGAGGTGGGGAAAGTAGGAGGAGGCACATGCAGGAGACATTAAATTGGGCAGGGGACATTGGAGGAGGTATGGAGTGGGGCGGGATCTAAACACCATCAAGCTATATAATGAAAATCACAAAAATTCAATGAAAAACAAAAGAAAAACTTAAAAGACTCAGACTCATCAGAATATTTTAAAATAATTTTAATGTTTTAAATATTAATGTTTTTTTATTTGACATGAAATTTTATGCATCTGTTAATAAAAAATTTATTACATTAATAAAAATCTTTA